CCCCCACACACACACCGTGCACACGCTGAGCCGGTCTGCAAGGCAAGCCACGGCTTGCGTGCACTGCTCACACTAAGAGCCTTGGCAGGCTCCAGCTCTCCTTGCCTCACTGCAACTAGGTCTGGGCTGCTCTGCCAAGAGCAAGAGGCTTTTAGGACAAGTACCAGGAATTAATTATATGCCAGTGGGAGATTAAAGCAGTTTAAAGATTGACCACCCCTCCTTATTAGCAGAATTCAAGCAATAGAGAGGAAAGCAGACAGCTCTTCCTGATTATCTCAAGCCTTTTTTTTTTTTTAAGCATAAGGCCAAGCTCGCTGCTATTGGAAGCTGAGGTGACATAATTTAAATTTATCCAAGCTTATAATTTGGCAGATACGCTTTGTGTCTGGAAACGTTATTGTCTGTAAATATCTTGCTAATGGTGCACCATGGCCTTGTGATGGGGTGTGATAGTTATGTCCCAGGAAAGCTAATATTTAAACTTAAAAAATGTGTATGAAACACTATGACTCTCAGCCAGTCAGAATCATTGGCTTCTACTCTGGTGGTTTACACCTTTTTAAACAGTCATACAGCATTCTCATTCCATACTTGTACAGTCTTTATACAACATATGGTTATTATTTTTAAAGCTTGCATAAATCAGCGAGTTGGAAGCCAACATATCTATACTGAGTTGCAGCACGTCAGGATCTAGCCTTTCATTATAAACTAAAATGGGCGACGGTTTTCACAACTGAGTTTCACAATTTCTTTTTTTTTTTTTTTTTAATATTGCACCATTTCACAGTGCATTTAAGAGAGAAATGACTTAAGAGAGAACTAACTTCCATCAAAGTAAGGTGCATTAGCCTTGTAAAACCATCCTGGTGAGGGCTTTCTCAAGTTTGCTGCCAAGCTGACAGGGTCTTCAGAAACACCCACTTGCAAAAATTGGACAGCTTTAGCACATTGATTTTGCAGAATCACATATGTGTGACCATTGTCGTTGCCCTTTTCTTACAGGGGTAGGGGGACAGGTTAATGCATTAGTACACAAAAATGACAGTGCTTTTTAACCTTTAGGATGACATTTTTTGATTCCATTTATATATTGAAAAGGATTGCTGACAGATTGCCTGGATAACTGCATTTTTTCTGCAGTTGAAGGGATTGTTACAAATATTAACATTACCTCACAGAGTTAAAAGGTTAACTGATTGCTGTTCAGTACATTATGAGTCATTTTCTATTCATTTTTTCCATGATCAGAATATACCTCTATATCAAGATAAGGATGAATTTTGCCATCTTCTTTCTATCTGAATTTTATCCTGCTCAGCAAATTCCAGCATCAGAGCACTTTTCAGGATGGAGATATTTTTTACAAACTTCTAAAATAAAAGCCACTTCATTCTCCACACCTTGCATTTGGCAAATGTGAGATGGAGCGTTTTCTATGTGTGATAAGCCAGAACTGGCACTGCATACGTCAATAGAAAGAGCACTGAGGTTTGGTTTATGCAAATGCATGTGTCAAAGTGCAGCTTCCGTCTCAGATATGAGAAATGAGATTTTTCAGTGACAGTAAAATGGGAAGTATTTGGGGAGTGCATCCTCAAAGGCGTTTTGCCTCAAAGGCAAGGCAGTCTCCAGGTAGCGCTAGATAGAAGGGAAGGTTGGGCAGTGTCCAGGTAGCACTAGATAGAAGGGAAGGTTCTTGGTCGCAGGATTTGGTGCTGTACCTATTTCTACACTCTCCATTCATTCAGCTTTTCAGGGGGATTGCACTGAATCAATCTCTATGGAGGTAGTGAGACAGATCTCCTACCCTATTTTCCTGCTCTTTGACCTGGTGACTCAGGTTGCGCTGTGAGGTCAGTAGTTGCTCCTAATTTCAGAAATGTGAATGAGATTATGATCATTAACAATTATATTCATTTGTTCACTAAAAGCCAACAGATGAATTTCATCCTTGCTGCAACAGCAGTACTATCAAGAAAATGATACTACAAGGTATTTAGATGCATATTTCTAAGGCTGACTTGATTTGGCCAGGCCCCTTACCTTATTAAAACCAGGTGTTTTTTTTTTTTTTGGTTGGCTTCAATGAGGTTACATTTGGGCCCCTGATACATTACAGGGCACACACAGAAACACTTCTATTTCCATAATGGAAAGAAACCCTTCTCTTCTATTTAGTAGGTTTATTAAAACATCAATTGTTCATAAAGATCAAGTGTATATTTCCCAGGTTAAGGTGATATTCGTGATGGAATAAACTTAGAAAACATAGGAGGTGTCATTTATGGTACATTTATTCATTCCTCAGATTTTGTGTCTTCACCTGCTCTCTATTCTGAATTCACTGGAATTTTTTTCCAAGCAGCTTCAAGTAAAAGTTGTGTGATTTTTAAATGTATTTGCCATATGAATTGTTTCACTTTTATACATACAAAACAGATTTTTTCCTGTCAGAGTTCAACTACCTGCTGCAAAGTTAGTCCTAGTGATGGTAAACCAGCTTTTCTATACAGAGGGACTGGAACAGCTATAAAATTCAACATCTTGCAAAATGGGAACTCCGCACTTTGGAAAGAGACAAGGCCAAAAGGTTACTTGAAGCCTTGAGAAAGCTTCTGATCTTACATCTTCAAACTGTGATGTTTTACGGTATAAAAAGGGGCTATTTTAGCTTTTTCTGTCTTACGAAATAAACATAGTTGTCTTTAATTGAGAGATATCTGATTCTGGCAAAAGCAAAATAGTTTTTTCTTCTACATGCAAAAAGTTGCACAAAACTCATACAGGTAATAAAAACTCTCACTCTACTCTTTCCACCTTTCTGGAGAGGCTGCCCCCTGCAGATGTGCTGTGTGCCAGATGCTTGCTGGAATAGTCTGGTATGAAGGTTTCCTCTCAATCTGCGGAAAAATTGTTTAACTTAGTTGCAATTTCTCCACCCATGATTAATGCACCCAGCTCAACTGAGGTGCAGAAGCTACTAATCATCTGTGAATCACAGGCCAATGGTCTGGAGACAGCTGGCTGGTCACATAACGATGATAAAAGCGTTGTCTCCTTGTTTTTGCTGCCCAAATTAGCGGTCAGCCAAGTACACAGAGATACTTTCACAGGTAAGTACCTGTAGTTGTGCTCCTAACCGTAGTGTGTGATTGCAGATGACACACAAATCTCTCTGAGATATTACCATGATGTCCTTTGTACTACAGCTACAACAACTAACATGAATCCTCTTTGCATATGTGATATTTCACAGCAGCGGTACAATGTGGGTTCACTGTTTTGTATCTGGTGCCGGGGGTGGCGGTAATACAGCCATCTAGAATAGGTTTCTGAGTTTGTTTGAGGTGCTGTATAGTATCTAAAACCTCTGCGTAGGCTGACAGATGAGACCCACAGCTTCTGGGATAGCAGTCTGATGCCAAGGGGGGACATGCTCAAATGTCTCAAGTGTCACTAAACAGCTGTATTTGGGCAATTGAGTTGAATGAGCCCATACAGCCCAGGTGCCATATGTCTGTCTTAAGCTGGCCACGGAAAAGAGGTAGTCAGTTATGTTATCAAGATTTTGACTATTGTCTTTTAACAGCACAACTTCCTAAATTCAGAAAGTGTTGCAAGAAACTGCACGCCTCGCTTATCTCTGAGATACAGGAGAATTAATATTGAAAGCATACTTTTTCTGTCAGTCCATGAAGGGAGTTGTTGTCTCCCGGTAATCTTGCTAGGAAAGTTTCCTTTGGCTTTATTGAATACAAGGAAAAATGTAAGCTCTTAAGTAAGTACAGAGGCCTTCTCCTGCAGAGACCATGTACTGTAAGAAAATAATTGTTACTTTAGTGTTTCCTGAAGCATGAGTTGAGCACTGGGTTCCGTGTGAATATAATACTTGTGTTTCCCTTTCTCATTGACATTTAACAGGTTGATAGAGCTCCTTCCTTTTATTACCATAAACTACTACTGGGGGATTATAAGCAAGTGCCTCACCTACAGTAAGGCTGCATCAGATCCATTTGTTTATTCACTTTTACGTCAACAGTACAAGAAAGTTCTGATCAACATTGTCAATAGGATACTTAAGAGGGATCTGTATCCTTCATCAGGCTACAACAGCTCTCTCGACACTGAAAATGATTACTGCTTGCACAGAACAAACTAACAACTTGACAATCATTCCCTCCGAATAAGAAAGGCAGTTACCGCTGCTGGAAAGTTGCCTTTTTCTTCTCATGCCGAGTGGACAAGGACAGCGACAGTCTCCAGGGTGTGAAAGCTGCGTTAACGCAACACACTTAATTGTGGACTTTCATGAAAGGTTCTTCCGTGGTCTTCAGCCAGCATGATATATGGCAAAGCCTGTGTCTGAGTGAACGGAGTAGGTCTGAGGGGTTTAGATGCTTAGAGAGCCTTTAGAGAAGCTTAGAGAGCCTTTAATGTCTCATGCATGAAGATTTGCTATTTTACTGAGCATCCCACATGGTATTCAACCAACTTAGATGAAAGAGTCTGGGACCACGGGAATCCCCAACTTGGACAGAGAGGTTCATAGTCCTCTGTGCTACACATATACCTTGGCAGCCCTAGGTTTGTGCTGTTAGTTTTGGACATTAAAAATAAGTCTTTTCATGGATTGTTTGCTGCACATGTACCCTGGAGGCCCTGGATTTGCGCTGTTAGTTTTGAACATTAAAAACAAGTCTTTTATTTGATTGATTTATTGTATTGGTGCCTCAAGTGAGTGATATGGGTCAGCACTTTGAATATGAGATAGTTATTACTATTATTATTTATTGTTAGGCATCATGACTGTAATATAGCCTTTAGGAAGTGGTACATATATTCAATATGCCAGTATTTTATCAAGCCTAACCAAAGTCCACATATCTGAGTTACTAATATTTAGCACTTCAGTGGTATGTGATTACAATAATTGCAGCAACAGTAACAAAGGTATATATGGAGTTTAGTTAAATTGCACTGTAGTTCCATCACTGAGCTAGTCCTATTCAAACAAGCTTTTATTCAGAAAAAAAAAAAGTTAGACTGTAGAAATGACAGATACCACTGTATTTAAGATATATTGCTTCAGAAGCTAACTACTTTCAAAGAACAGGCTAAAACATGTTAATTAATTTTAAGGGATATATAATGTGCAAAATATTTCATGCCATGGCTACATTTGGTGGATTGCAATAATATTGTACAATCTTTTCTTTTTTATTATCAATTAATCCGCTGATTTTAACTGATACCAAGAGATGTCTGGGAGATTTTGCAACAGACCTGCTGCCAAATGCCCAGAAACACAAAGCTGATTTATTACTATATGTACTTTTCTCTTTCATTTATTTTTAAATCTAAACAGGTGTTTGAAAAATGTTGGAATTATTTTTGAACAATATTTGTTTGATTATATAAGACATAAATCAAAATATTATATGGCATTCAATAAGCTACTATTTTCTAAACAAGTATATAAGAGGAAAATTAAAGCAATTCTAAAATATATTTTAAGAAAAATAAAGAAATACAACAGTAAAAACACTTATTTTTATGTAACAATAGGCTTGACCCTATTAAGCCTTGAGAAGGCTCTTCCTCACCCAGCTAAGTATATAAGCATGTGATTAGGCACAGATATAATTTCCTTTGAAGTTAATGTCCCCTATTCCCATGCTAGAAAATTAAGCACACTTAACTCTTTTGTAAGATCAATGTTTGAGTGCTCAGCACATCCAGAGGGTTGTTCCCACCATGCACAATAAAGAAGAAGGAGAGAGCCCTATTGCAGTCCCATTGAAGTCAAGGAAACGGTAATGCTGCATAACAAATACAATGTTCTCTTATCTCCAGCTTTTAATCTTTGAGGCCTTTCCGATTTTTTTTTTGCCATGCAGTACCTTAGGCCTCTGTGTTTTGCATCTATAGTTTTGCCTGTGTTAAAACTGAATGTACTACAATGGTTTTGTCTTCTTAGTAAAGTGTTTGTACTCTCTCCAATTTTGTGTAAATACAATATTTCAGAAAAAAAAAAAGGTATGTGGAATCTTTCAAGCTTTATTATTTTCCTCTCTGCTTCCACATACTTCCCCCCTACTGCCGTGCCACTAGAAAAACCCGATGCGTGTCTTGCACGTCACCTGCAGCGTAAGGATCAGATATCTCTGTGAGGGGAGGAATGCTAAACTTTCAGTTATTTTATAGTCAATTCTGCGCCAAAAAGTTCTGATAGACTACAATATTTATCTGTAAATAAACATGAGTTTAATGATGCCTACATTAGTTAGCTACTTAGCCATTCTATAGCTTTCTAAACAAAACGTTGCTCACTCTAATAAAGGAATATGTTAATATAGTTAAATGTCTTAAACTGTCACCTTCAAGACACTCAAGCCAAATAAAGCTTTAATTTGTGTTTATCTTTTTTGGTATTAAGAAAATAATAGAAAAGAAAAAAATTTCTGGTAATAAACTTCTGAAGCTATTAACCTTCTAAAGCCACATTTAAAAGCTATAAAAGAGAGCATAGTTAAACCAACACATCTGCCATTAAGTTAATTAATGAGGCTGATTCATGCCAGTTAAGGGCATTGTCATGCACACATTGCAATCACAACTCAATCCTACAAAGCATGGAGCACACCTAGAGGTGCTTAAGTCTAGATGAAAATGAAGGAAGAAAAGGATTTTGAGTCTGTCCTGGGTGTTGCAGAATCTCTTTTGGGTTTAATTCCTATAGAGAATTAGGCTACCAAGCCCTGCAGTGTAGTCTAAATGAAAAGTAAAGATACCAGCAGGTAAGGAAGAGCAAGGAGTACTGTATTCTTCGTTATCCTAATTCTTCCCTCTCAGTCTTGATCTGTAACAAAGTGCCTTCCTTAGCATTGCCAAATGATATCTTCCTCTGCTCACTATGCAAGGCCAGTTCTACAGGTTCTACAGGTAAGTTTTTCTTACTCCCTTCTTCTCCCCACCCCATGCCAGAAAAGGGCTTGCTTTGCTTTTGTAATTGAGTAGGAAGTGCTCAGGGGGAGGCCTCGGTTTCATTCCCTCTCTTTCCTGACGCAGGAAGAGCTCCTGTGCTTTATCCAGTGCTCTGGGTTATCCTGGGGTAGGAGGGGCTAGAGGGAAACACGATTAGCCTTCAGTTTCTGAAATGCTGAGAGAAGGATCAAAAGATCACTGGGCTACTGGAGATGAGAACATTTATCTTTAATGGTGGGAACATTCACCAGAGGAACCAAAGCTGTGGATTCACTCTTACTGCTGTTTTAGAAAAAACAGTCACTGGCTACACAGCCTTGGTCAGAAGATTTCCAGAAAAGCTGAAAAGTGATATCCAAAAATAGCATCTTGCCATTGGCACACTCTTGCTGACTTCAAGGTGGTGTTCCAGGAAGCTTTATCTGGATTTTGTAACAGACAGCCCTGGGGCCTAGGATGCTTTTGTGCTATGAAACTAGGGGCTGGCAAATACCTGGCAGGTCTACCGTGGAGCTAAAAAATCCTGAGATTTGACTCTCTGGTAGAGTATGACTTCCCTAAGCTAAGGAGCTGTGACCTTCCTGCAGCTGCTTAGTGAAAACAATGCAAGTTACTAGAAGAGAACTTGAGAAGTACATCATTTATATAGAGCAGTACCAGCAGGGCTCAGAAAGCTCCTGCGTTGTGATGTTTCAGCTCTTAGTTGTAGTCAGAGTCAGCGAAAAAGTTTTCTCCTTTGTCTTTAAACAGGCGTTACAGCTGCAGAAACTGGAATTCAGAACTGCATCTTCCCTGGGTGATACCTTTTCACAATGACAGTCAGAGTATGGAACTCTGCAGCACAATAAACCTTTAATTAGTCCATGCAAACTGGCCAAACTGAGGAGACATTCAGCTGTAACCTCTTTGTCTTCATGCACCTCCACTGAAGTATTTTGGAGTGTGATGGCTTGGACACTTTCTGACAAGATCCAGGATGCAGTTTCGAATCTACCTTTACAGAAGAAAAAGCAAGTCTGTATGCCCCATTTGCTAAGTGAGTGGTCTAAAATTTGTTTATCAAAAGGAGAGTTATCCCTTCCAAATAGCAACATTTTTTTTCCCCAGTGTGCTGATATTGCAGGTAAACTCTGAGGTTGGTAGTCAGATTGAGTTTCTGAGGCTATAGAGATAAAGCAGTAGCTGGACCGTAGATTCCCAAAGGGCTGGGTTATGAGTTGGATCCCAACTGCTCAGTCCTGGCAAGATGGATGTGCTTCAGTCCAAGCGCAAAAATTAAATTAGGTTTCCTGAGTTGTTTGATATTGAAAACATGTGCATCTCTGAGATTAGATGGCAGCTGAGTAAGGAGCTCCAGAACCATAACTTTGGAGTTAAATGCCTAAATTCCCTTTAATCCAATTTAGTGATTTTTTTTAAGATGCTGTTTCAAGACTTCAGGTCCTGTGAACTTTCACTCTGCAGATTCCTTAGCCCCATTGCAGAGGGGCATACACTTCATCTGAATAAATTAGCACCCAATAAATCCGTGTGAATATACTCAATGATTACTAAATATAAATTTAGCTTATTTTAACATGAGTAATGGTGATACTGAACTGAACTTTCAGAGCTATTTGCAATGTTAGAATTATTGCAGGATTAAGCATGTATAAAAATAGTTGTATTACAGAACTTTGATTCTCACAACCAGAGAGTGATCCTGCTCTTTACAACACTGGGTTAAAGTTTAAACTCTTTTTGAGAAATTTAGCAGCTTTGAATATTTTTGGATACAATGACCTGTGGCAAGACGGTCAGTATTTTTTTTTACACTTTACCTGCATGAGCTTGAAGAAAATAGTCTCATATGAGCAGGAAGGTTGACTAGAACCCACGGATGACATGTCTTCTGTTGTGTTTAGGACTTTTTCCCCAGAATAATTATGTGCAGTTGTGCATGCAGATTGAACAATCAAAAGCTCTTTCAGAATTGTCCAGTGCAAACATCTTGTTAGTCTAGTTCAGGAGAACACCTGGCTTGTCAGGTGTTAATTACACTAGTAAATTAGAGGTTCTGCTTTTTATTTTTGGAAAGTAGGTCCAATTAATATTTAATAGCTCCACTGGAGACACAGCAGAGATGACCTTAAGAGAGATTGTAAATATATGAATATCTTTCAGTGCCAGAAGCTTTGGAGACCAAAATGTCACCTGGCACAATATATGCAACCAGCTCCTGCTCTGAACTGAAGCTGCCTTTCTCCATGGCTTATTGTGACACAGACTGGTCCCGTTTCTCTATATCTCTGGTTCTTTTCTTTTTACCAATAGGTTTTCCTTACAAGGACATGAGGGTGCATGAAGCTCCCTGAGGGTGCATGATGGAAATCAGGTTCTTTCTGCTCTTTTTATGAGTGAGCAATGCATGAAGCACAAGTGGCTCACAGCCAGGCTACTCATATACTTTCAGTACAAATGAAACATATCGTAAAGCATGAATGTTAAATGTCATGGAGCCCATATGGCAAAAGACATTTTCGAGTGTCAAGAACTATTGAACTTTTTTTTTTAACCAGATGCCTTCAAAAATATTATGGACAGTAATTAAAGTGTCTTCATCCCAGAACCCAATCTTCTATCACGTATTGCCTGTGCAAGTTGCTGAGCAGCCTCCAAATAAAAAATCCCTTTTGGGACATAGCCTTAGCTTTTCGTTGTGCGTAGTTAATCCATTTCACTGCAT